TCTTGCGGACGTGGCTGCTGGCAAGAAGAAAAATGCGTCGATGGTACCCTACCGTGACTCGATTCTTACGTGGTTGCTTAAAGATTCTCTCGGAGGTAATTCCATGACGGCAATGATTGCTGCAATCTCACCAGCGGATATCAACTTCGAAGAGACTCTCGGTACTTTGCGATATGCCGACTCCGCGAAACGTATCAAGAACCACGCAGTCGTGAACGAAGATCCTAATGCACGGATGATCAGAGAACTGAAGGAAGAGCTGGCGCAGTTGAGATCCAAGCTTGGACCGGCAGTGGGTGCCGTGGGTGCCGGCGGAGCGGCGGCGGCAGGCGGAGTATCTGTTGTTGAAGAATATCCCCCGGACACTCCGCTGGAGAAGCAGATGGTTTCCATTCAACAGGATGATGGCTCTGTAACCAAGGTCAGCAAGGCTGAGATTGTGGAGCAGCTCAACCAAAGCGAGAAGTTATACAAGGACTTGAACCAGACTTGGGAAGAGAAGTTGGTGAAAACGGAGCAGATTCACAAAGAACGAGAGGCCGCTCTGGAAGAACTGGGAATTAGTATTGAAAAGGGCTTCATCGGACTCAGCACGCCCAAGAAGATGCCGCATTTGGTCAACCTGAGTGATGACCCGCTGCTCGCCGAGTGTCTTGTTTACAACATCAAACCGGGAACGACTATGGTTGGAAACATGGAACAGGGAAGCCACGTGGAGATACGATTGAACGGTTCTAAGATTCTCGCTAACCATTGTACGTTTGACAATGTGGATAATATTGTCACCCTTGTGCCGAGCGAAGGTGCCGCCGTCATGGTCAACGGGTTACGCATAGATAAGCCAACACGCCTCAAAAGCGGCTTTCGAATAATCCTGGGCGATTTTCACATCTTCCGATTCAACCATCCCCAAGAAGCTCGGGCCGAGCGAGTAGAGCAGAGTCTGCTGCGACACTCGGTTACTACAAGCCAGCTAGGATCTCCAGCCCCAAACAAAACACACGATCGCAGCTTGAGCAAGACCGGCTCGGAGATCGACGGGGACTCCAGTAGGGCCGATTCGCCAATGCCTTCGCAGCCCGGTCGCGAGTCTGATTGGTTTAACGCTCGCCGAGAAGCCGTCAGTGCTGTGCTGGGGCCTGATCATATTTCTCACATGCCTGATGATGAGTTGGATGCCCTGTTTGAAGACGTGCAAAAAGTTAGAAACACTCGCCGGGGACTTGCCGAGAACGAGGAGGACTCTGATTCGCTCAGCTCGTTTCCGGTCCGAGACAAGTACATGTCCAACGGTACGATCGATAACTTTTCGTTGGATACTGCTATCACCATGCCGGGAACTCCTCGCCAACAAGACGAGGAGGAGGGCCAAAATGGGGGTGATACGACGCTGCAGTCTGTACGTCGGGATATGCAGCGCCAGCTGGACCGACAGAAGGAGGAGTACCAGGATAAGTTAAGAAACGCGGAGGTTTCATCTAGCCAGGGCACCGACGACATCCGCTCCGAAAAGACTCGCATGGAAGTGGCTCTGCGCACGGCCAAAGAAGAATTTGAGGAACAACTGAGAAAACAAAAGGAAGAATTCGAGTCTCACATGAAAGATATGGGCCAACCGGTGCCCAAAATTTATGAGAATGGCTTTGAAAAATTGGACCAAAGGGAAATAGAAATTGCGCATTCGGTCTTTCGCCATTGGACGCAACAAAATTACGTCCGCATGGCAGAGAACGTACTCCAGCATGCGTCGTTGCTGAAGGAGGCTCAGGTGATGAGCCAGATAATGGATAAGAATGTCGTTTTCCAATTTGCGGTCGTCGATCATGGACACAACATGGCGTCCTCGTACGATCTGGTTTTGAACGGTATCTCTGGTGATGAAGATGTTGTGCTTGACGAGGCCAAGAAACCCTGCATCGCAGTGCGCGTAATCGACTTCAAGCAGTGCGTCATCCACCTCTGGTCCCTCGAGAAGCTCCAGCGCCGTCTTCAATCTATGCGTCAACTGCACCAGTACATTGACCGGCCAGACTATATTCAACACTTTAAACTGGAGAATCCTTTCTCGGAGCCCTGCTCCCCACAGTATTCGCTGGTGGGTGACGCTGATATCCCACTGACGGCGGTGTTTGAGACACGAGTGCAAGACTTCTCAGTTGAAATCACTTCGCCCTATACACAGAACGTGATCGGCATCATTAGACTGTCTTTGGAACCGTCCTCAGCTCAGGCACCATCATCCACTCTGAAGTTCAACGTTGTCATGCGTGATATGGTTGGCTTTGCCGAATGGGAGGGGACGGAGGTCCATGCCCAACTCTTCGTGCCAGGAATATCCGAGGAGGGAGGTGCCACTACCACTCAGATGATCAGTGGGTTTGATGAGTCTCCCGTCCGCTTTGAAAGCGTTCATAGCATGAGCCTACCGCTCTCCAGCCCGCGGAGTGCGGCCCTGAAGGTTTGTGTGTACGCGCGAGTGACACCCATGCACATGGACAAGCTTCTCAGCTGGGACGACATGCGCGACTCGGCAGAACCAGCACCCCAAAAGCGTAAAACCCCTCGCATCGCGGAGTCTGAATTCTTCTCGGAAGAACGACACGATGTTTTCGCGCGTATGCAAATACTGGAGCTGGCCGAAACCGGCGAGTACCTTCCTGTCGAGGTGGTTCAGAGCAGCAGTCTTGATGTTGGCACGTATCAACTCCACCAGGGACTTCAACGTCGGGTCCTGGTAAACCTGACTTATAGCTCCACCGAAAGCCTTCCTTGGGACAACCTCAACCATATCCGAGCAGGCTCAGTGCGGCTGCTAGACCCATGGGGCAAGATTCCAGACCAGGACCTTCAGACGCCAGACGTTCCGTTGAAGTTCGTTCAGGAACCGATGGTGAAAGACAATGCGGATGGAACATCCAACGTTACGTTGATCGCCCAATGGGACTCCAGTTTGCATGGTTCTCTGCTCCTCGACCGAGTCACTGCCGACAAGTATCGCGTACAGGTTACGGTCCGATGGGATCTCATTTCATCTCGCTTGCAGGATCCCGTGTCCTTTGATGTAGACTTGACGCTCCAAATCCAAAGTCGAACCTACGTGCGCCCGCAGTCCATGTTCAAGCAGTTCTTCAATTCTACTCGAATTGTACATTCCACGGTTCGCATGTTCTCCTTGGCCGTTCGACCCGTATCTGCCAAACGCGCTGCGGACCTTTGGCGTATGAACACTCAAAACGATTACGTGAAGGGCGAGGAGCTCTTGACGACGTGGTCGCCGCGCAAAGTGTCACTGGTGCGTGACTACATCGCAGCTCGCAAGCGACGTCGACGAGTTGCCGAATTGAATGCTGCCAAAGGAGCCCTCAGCGCGAGTAGTCTGGTGGCATCTCCTCCACGGAGCGGCCGGTCAACCCCCCTTCGCAGCCAGGAGAACTCAGAGCGAAAAGCCAAGCTGCTTCGGAAGTACGTCGAGCTTTGGACCACGAAGACAGACCCCATCGAGGCGATTCTTGTCCGAAGCAACACGGAGCCTCCTGACGGGGGCGCAGCGTTTGCCTCGCGGACGCAGCCATCCTCGGGCGATGATTCCAGCTCTATCTCTGATGAGGCATCACTGAAGCCGCGCTTCATTGCAACCATTCAGACCCTTCCGAAGAATGCATCTTCTTCGAAGAACGGATATCTCTTAACACCCGACGATACCAACAGTCACTGGGTCCGACGCTTTGTAGAACTTCGTCGGCCTTATCTTCACGTCTACTCTGTTCCGGACGGGGATGAAATCAATGCCATCAACTTGCGACACTCACGCGTGGATCACGCCCCTGATTTTGCACGTCTTCTTGATGGCCCAGGAGCGCGGGGCGATAATGGCTCGTCGCCCAAGGGACGGCCGAATGTATTTGCGGTGTATGGAGCGCAGAACACCTTCCTCTTTGCCGCTCGTACCGAAGCCCAGAAGGTTGAATGGATCCTGAAGATCGACGAAAGCTACTTCAGTCACGGGGGTAAGGCACCGATCAACGGGTCTGGATGAAGTGCGCCACCACTTCTACACTTCCGATATCCACAGCGATCGATTATAATTGGAACGATTTTTGCCGACGTTACGCAAGCGATGCATTGAACATACGATTCTACTTTCTTCCTTTATTGGTTGCATTTGAATGGTTCGGCTTTCACTTTTACCCTTATCTTTTCTCTTGCATGGTCATGGGCAGGCGAGGTCCACCCTACACTCTCTCGCGTTTCTCATCAGATCGAATTGTTTTTGCGCCTCACACCCAGGCCTGGAGTCTGTCTATCTTTTGTTGATCACCGTTTCCCTTCGTTTTGATATACTTTTGTGATTGATTGGTTTAGAGATACCCCCTGAATATACCTGCCCCTTAGTACACATGCGATCTCCCTGTATATAGTTGAGATTACCCTCCCCTATCTGCAAGACATAGACGTGATCGGTCGGCAAGCGATGATATACGAGGCCCTCTGTGTCCGCAGGCGGCGGTGGCCATTGTTTGTTGATTTTTCTTCTTTTTCCAAAGTGAAAGCTGAATACACTCCGAGTGAACCATTAGACATTGACTTCATTATTTAGCGGGAAATTCATTTGTTCTGCAGTCAGTATTACGCATATCGCTATCTACTTAGTTGTGTATGCCCCAGTGATAACGAATTGATGATCTCATTGAATCAATGCACACCTGTTGCCATGGGAACCACGACAGCCTCAGAACTGTCATGCCTAACTGCATCACATCACCTTCAACTGACCTACCACATTCTTGTTCTTAACTTAAATCATTTTTATTTCTCTCTGGAAGAACATTCTTACCGATATAGCTTCTGATCGACATGACAGTTGCTACATGAATGACGAATTTGCCTAGAGAAACTAGCAGCGGGATATATAGACGGAATCTCAATCAACAACACCACATTCCTTTCACCAGCCGCAGCATATCTAGCAGTATATATACAGCATATACACCTCCATCCCAATGCGCTGGACGCAAACCAACCAGACCCGAACGACATGGCTCCGTTTCGTCGGCATCGGCGCTATATTGACCCTGTTGATCGTCGCATTCCTGCTCTTTAGCGATCGTCTCTCCACTTCCGCTACGAAATATATTTTAAAAACGGCCGATAAGTCACCGCTGGAATGTCCGTCGGCGGTTTCGAATATTACACAATGGGAGTTCCATACTCAGAGGGATGCGAATGATCACGGGCTTTCGGATGAGCAGTGTCGGGCTGCGTTTCCGAAGCTATTTGTGGAGTTGGATAAGTCTGCTGAGGGGAGGAAGGACAAGAAGATTACGTTTCAGGAGGTGAATGGGATATCGGTGGAGGATGGGATGGTAAGGGCGGTTGTGCAAGATGGAGAGGTAAGATCTTAGTTTCTTGCGATGGCGATTGTTTGGGGATTGTCGTCTGTGTGAACTATACGCGGACCACCCATGCTAATCCATGACCGCAATAGCTATATATTGTCGATTTCGGCGCTATGCCGGCAACCTTCACCCGTGGCAAAGCGACCCTGAACTCGCTGCACCGCGCGCTGGCTTCGTTCCCTGACAGTCGCAACCTACCGAACATCGAATTCGTTCTGACGACAGAGGACTACAGCACAGGTGACGGTCCCATCTGGTCCTACTCCAAGAAGGATGAAGACACGAACGTCTGGCTGATGCCCGACTTCGGATACTGGTCGTGGCCGGAGGTCAAGATCGGCTCGTACAAGGACATCCGCGCACGTATCGCCGCCGTGGACGACGGCGACTCCTCATCACCAAACGCCCAGCACGGACTATCCTTCCAGTCGAAGAAGAAACAACTCGTCTGGCGCGGCAGCGTCGCCACGAACCCGCAATTGCGCGGCAAACTACTCAAAGCCGCCCAGGGCAAGAGCTGGGCCAGCATCCGCGTGATCGACTGGGACGATGAGAACGATCTCCGGTACAATCTGCTCCCGATGGAAGAGCACTGTCGGTACATGTTCCTGGCGCATGCGGAGGGCCGCAGCTTCTCCGGCCGCGGCAAGTACCTGCTCAATTGTCGGTCTGTGACGATCACGCATCAGCTGGCGTGGAAGGAGGCGCATCATGCGGCGCTGATCGCGTCGGGTCCGGAGGCGAACTATGTGCAGGTGCAGAACGACTTCTCGGATCTGGAGAGGAAGGTCGAGTTTCTGATTGATAATCCCGAGACGGCGCAGCGGATCGCAGAGAATGCGGTTAGGACGTTCCGTGATCGGTATTTGACGCCTGCGGCGGAGTCGTGTTACTGGAGGGAGTTGATCAGACGGTATGCGGATTCTTGTGAGTTCGAGCCGGTGCTGTTTGGGATGATGGAGGATGGGAGGAAGGAGGCTAGAGGGACGCCGTTTGAGACGTGGGTTTTGACGGGGTGAGGGAGGGATTGCATCTTGGGTGTAATAGGTGTTGGGAGTCTGTATGATGTTATGGTTATGATCTACTTTGTATATAAAATGATTCTATGAATATCGGACGAACAATGACAAGACGGAGGTTTTGGCCTTAGGGCTCGGGAAGTGAAGTTTCCCAGGCATCCGTCTCAACGTGACTATCCTTTTCTCTTTCTTCTACTCGTCTCCCACTCCTCTTCGGGTCTCGATTCCTCTCACATCAGCAGCAGCAGCACAGTCATCCACATTGACATCATTGTACATCTTTTCCCCCATCATTCTTTCACATGGAATGCACCGTGATCATGGCCATCTCCCCCTTACTGAAATTGGCAAGAGTCCCCACGTGAGCACTTCGATCCCCATGTCGGTGTCTCCAGATGAGCTTTCGAAATTCAACCTGAATGAGACCCGATACTTTCCGTTGTTGATCAAGTCATCCCAACCGCAAGGCTATAGTCTCACTGTACTAACAAGTGTCGATCCCTAGGAAGTAAGTCACGGTGCCCAAAAAGACAGACGTCCCGCGACCCGTGGTTCAGGCTCTCCCCCACAGAGCCAATGGTGATTGAATTAGAGTGTGCACGAGATAACTAGCCAAAACTAATTTACTGACTGTCCATCTCCCCACAATTCGAGCCTTGCTGCCGGGACATACATACCGACTCAATAATGAGCTTCGCGAAGCTGAGATTTCAGACGACGGGCCTCGGCAAAGGCGTCAGTGCGACCATTTCTGCGGGGAAAAAGCCACGATAAGAAAAGTCCGGGGTACTTCGTGCTCGGCAATGGCTCACACGACGCTTCTTTGTTGGATGGTTAAATCGCTCATCTGATGGATGGGAAGTCCTCGACAAAGAGTCGCTTCGTCTGGTCTCCTTCCGCTTTGGACGGAACGGCTCCTATTTGCGACAATTCACCCGCGGAAACCTTTTTTTTTGTCGTGTCTTGGCCTTGGTAAGAGATATTATTGAGAGATACGACTAGACCGATCTTTTCCCGGATCTTAAGAAAGAGTTTTACTCTAGTAGATTATAATCCGCGGTTGGACCTGGCAAGACAGACAACAAAGCCCCATGGAGCCCAATCTACCCATACGCAAGGGGTACAGGTCTGAGACAAAGATTATCTGGCGAGATCTGCATAGCGGATTGACAGGACACAGGCGAGAGTGGAGTTGCTCAAGGCCATGGACCCTGTCGGCGGTATCCTATCGGTCGGCTGGATTCGAGGATCTGCTGTACCTCTCGCGAGGCTTTTCGAGTTACTCGAGTCGAGTCAACGACGGCATCCGGTGAGCTTGTGCACCTCTTGATTCTTGAACTGGGCAGTAAGAAAAAGGCTCGTAAGTTGGCATCGGGACTACGATTGGACTGGACCGTCGACAGCCGGATGCACAATGTGACATCACCAAGTGACCCCCATTTTAGGGTCAGGGTCGTGGACTTGGTTGGATCCGAACCTGGCCCCGAGCCAAGGAAACACGACGTTTTGGAAGCGATCCTTTCCTGCCATGTGTCTTGCGCCTTATGGATGGTCTGGTAGCCGCCTCCCATTGACCCGAACATTAATCCCATTTTACGGTAGGAATAAGAAAGCGCACTGGCCTCGACCACTTGTACAGCCTCCCCGGCGGTTGGCTTCTATTTTCCGAAAAGGGAAAATGTGGAGAAATTCGAGTCAATTCGAATGGGGAAAAGAACACAAAAAAGGAAACGAAGGCCAATGAGAAAGAAAGGATCGGCGATGAGATCAGAGATCACAAGCTTGCATTCCTGCCAAGAAGAGCCAGTCTGCCTTTCGACCTCACGGCTTCCGAAGGCGTCTGACAAGACTCCGTTGGCACTGAAGTCAGATGTCTAGGGGGATTTTAATTTCGACGTGTATGACCGAATATGCCTGACTGGCTGACTCCTCGTTGTGGTTCCTGCCAGCGAAGGGGGATTTGAGGGCTCCCCCTATCAGCAGACGGAAGATCCTCCTTGACACAAGGAAAAGACAAAGGAAAAAGCAAAGAGAAAAAGAAAAAAAGGTCGTAATACGTCCAAGAGGCGAAGGCACAGCGTATGCAGTGTGAGAGAGATTGCAAGAACTCTCAGGGGTGAAAATCTGGGTTGTAGCGGTCTGCTCTGCATTGCCCTTGCGTCGCTTATCCATTTTGTTCTTTACTTTCGATGCTCTTGATCCACAATCTTCGCCATAGAAGATCCAACACCGACGGTTTCGGTACAGACTGACTCAACCCAGAGAGCGTCTAGTGAAGTTATTGATGGGAAGATCAGCCGCCATCCAGGGTCATCACCGCTTGGCTCACCATGGCTGCCCACCGTGATCGACGCCCAACTAACAACTAGGAAATGAATCCTCGGCAAATCAGCGTCGGCCCGAACCAAGACCATTCCCGCATCCGGAAATATTCAAACACCCTGGGATCGCTTCGCATTGACGCCACTTCGCACCGTCCGGCACCGCCGTGGGTAAGTTGATATGATTTTTGGGCGGGCCAGTCACGTCGAGTTGTTTACCAAAATTTCAAATCTGCTGTAGCAGAGCCGAGTGACCGAGCGTAGTACCGTGATCAACCGGTGCCTGTCAATTGCCCCGGAAGAATCGAAGTATGGACAGCCTTGCGGGACTTGCATGCAGAAGGGTAGCTCAAAGCGTCCAGACATTGCCACGCCAGTCAAGATCCGCTCCCAGTGTCAGGGACTATTCGCCCCAAGTTGCTCTTTGATTTGATCCACTAACCTCCGAAACTATGTCAAATGGCGTTCTGCAACTGATCCCCCACTTTCCGGCTGATTGTTCCTTCCAAGGGCTTGGCGATGCGTCCCATACTTGGTCCAGCAGACCCAGTCGCCATTTGGACGCCTGCCTATCAAATGACTGATGATTTCGTCTACCGGACCAAACCTTCCTAATTACCCTATTCCACTCTGGGGCCAAATGCGGTCGACAAGAAATGGTACGGGGGCCGATCACCTACTTCCTCCGAGAGGAGGGGGTGATTGTCAAGTATTAAAAGGCTTGACGCATCCTGGAGATTTACATACCATGCTGTAGACATTCCTTTGATCGTTCTCGGCCATTGCTTGCGTGCCTCCCAGTCTCTTTTTCTTCCCTGCTGACATTCTTCCTTTTTCTTTTTGACGGCCTGGGTTTTGTGTTCCGCAGACGTCTGGTCTACTAGCCATGTGGTGTTCTCGACTATCCTCATGGACTCTGGGCCTAGCCCTGGTGACAGGGGCATTGGCTTCTCCCTTTCAGAAACGAGCAGCAGGGGCTCGCATGGCTATTAATTCCGACTTTCCTGATCCCAGCTTTGTGGGAACTCCCGACGGAACTTGGTATGCCTTTGGCACCAATGGAAACGGGAAGCGTGTGCAGGTCGCTACTTCACCGGACTTTAAGACATGGACTCTCACGGACAAGGAAGCACTACCTACCCTTGCGGGATGGGAGACCGAAATTGATCATTGGGCTCCTGACGTAGTTCAACGGGTATGTCTTCAGCCAAGCAATCTAGAACTCTACCAGACACTAACAAACTATACAGAAAGATGGAAAGTACGTGCTGTACTACTCCGGCGAAGCCAAAGAAATGGTCAGGCACCACTGTGTCGGAGTCGCCGTCTCTGAAGGCACTGATCCAGCCGGGCCCTACATCCCCAACCCCGAACCTCTCTCCTGCCGCCTCGACCAAGGCGGCTCAATTGACCCCGCTGGCTTCCTCGACAAGGATGGTAGCCGGTACGTCGTCTTCAAAGTCGACGGCAACAGCATCGGCAACGGCGGCGACTGCAACAACGGCATCGAGCCCTTGAAACCGACCCCCATCCTGCTGCAGAAAGTCAAGGACGACGGTTTCACCCCCGACGGTGCAGCCGTGCAGATCCTGGACCGTGACGCCAGCGACGGACCGTTGGTCGAGGCGCCCAACCTCATCTTACACGGTGACACCTACTTCCTCTTCTACTCCACCCACTGTTTCACCGACCCCAAGTACGATGTGCGCTATGCGACCTCGAAATCCATCACGGGGCCGTATGTCAAGAACGGCCGCAAGCTTTTCAAAACCGGCGATTATGGCTTGACTTCTCCGGGGGGAGGCACGGTCTGTGGCTGTGGGGATCGGATCCTGTTCCATGGGTTCTGTGCCGAGAACAAGCGATGCACATATGCTGCGGATCTTTCAATCCAGGGGGATCAGGTTACAGTTCTATGATAGATGCTTGAATATATTGTTTTCTGAATTGTTAATGTGACATGATTTGAACTTATTGGCGGGCATGGATTAAGTGACGTCGTTTCTTTATTTTTCTCTTCCTTTCTTTCTGAAAATCATTTTTGAATGATTTAACTTGAGCCATCTTTCCATATATATATAGATCTGTGAGGGAGATATGCCATTCTCAGGGATATCTAGCTTGACTTGCAGGTTCTTATCCTAGCACTGACAAAATGCCTTTGGCATGAACCTTATGGTTGCCACAGCACGTCTACGTTTGGGAAAAGGGAAATTAGTTTGGGACACAGTTCGATGATAAGGTGATGAGATTGATGCTTTCTACATGGAGGAGAGAAGGGTATCTAGTTTAATGTGCGTCTCCAACGATCCATTTTCTGGGAAACAGCTAAACGCCTGATGCAGCCAGAGGATTCTCCTTCCCCTTGCGCTTCGACCGGGTGTTTTCCACCCATGCCTCGACACCCTGGATGGCTCTCTCAGGATCATCCTTGTGATTCAGAAGGTATCCCTGAATCTCAGCAGCCGTGAACTCCGCTGGTGGCACACGCAATGCGAACTCCGAAGCCAGCCCCTGGACCTTTTCGCGCGAAACGCGATGCCATGGGGCCTGGATGATATCGCCGTTTTCCTTTTCCTTCTCCTTTTCCAACGCCATGGCTCTTCCCCTGGGTAGCCGCACGTCGCCCTCGAGGGACGCATAAATGGCCGTGAAGAGTTCCCTGATGTCCTCAGTCTCGGCGTACCCGAACTCCACAGACATATCCACGCGTCCGGGACGAAGCAGCGCTGCGTCCAACTTATCCGGGTGATTGGTCGTCATCACGAGAATCCGGCCTTCGCTCGCCGCGACGCCGTCGATGACATTCAGCAGTCCGGATAGCGACACGCCTGGCTTCACAGTCGCGGTTGTCTCCTCTGACGACGAGCCCGACTTCTCCTTCTCCTTCTGCTCCCCGCCCTTGTCTCCATCCCCCAACGTCCTCTCCTTCACCATACCGGCACAATCCACGTCCTCTAGGAGCACAATGCACCGCCTCGGGAGCTCGTGAAACAGGCTCATCAAGTCATCCTCACCGAAGCTCTTCGAACTCAGGTTGAGCAGATACAACGACAGCCCCAGCATGCCGGACGCCGCGAAGCACAAACTCGTCTTGCCCGTCCCCGGCGGTCCATGTAGCAAATACCCCCGACGATACGGAATCCCCCGATTCGAATACCAGCGTCTCGTCCGAGGATGCAAATACTCCTTGATATCATCGATGAACGCCTGCTTGCGCTCAGCCGCCAACACCACCGTCGACAGCGGCCTCGGCGCCCGCGACATACACCTCGTCCAGTCGACATACTCGCCTGGCGATTTCTGCGCGCGGTAGATCACCGTCGTATTCAAGTCCCGGGCCACATAGGCCCTCTGCGCCTCCACCAACAACTCCTTCAGGATGGTCGGATCGCGGCCCAAACACGCCAGATAGAGCTTCTCGGGAGCCATACGGGTATAGAAACTCGCAGTACTCTTATTCGTATCCTCCTTGACACGCATGAACGCCAACAAGCGCCTCCGGAACCAGAAATAGTGCGTGCCCTCGGCGGGCGTGAACCGCAATCGTTTGTACTTATCACGGTTCTTCGCCTTCGCCCAGTACGCGTCGAACGAGACCAGCACGTTCCCGTCCGCGTCGTACTCATCCTCTTCAGACTCCTCGTCCTCCTCGTCCTCCTCGTAGTACGAGCGGCTGGCGGATCCGCCCGTGCGCGTGCCTGCCACGAAATGAGTCGTGCGATTCGTGAACGGCTGCTGCGCGAGCCAGAACATCAAATAGCTGTAGATCTCATCGTCGAGGCGGATTTCGGCCTTCGAGACGCAGTGGGTTTCGATGAGGTGTTGGATTCGTGAGGAGGTGTATTTTAGGGATGCGAGGAGGACGACGCATGCGAGGACGTAGGGCAGGTATCGCGTTGGGTCGATGTGGAGGTGATTGATTAGGATGCGTGAGATGAAGGAGTAGCCTGGGATGAAGGCTTCGAGGATGGCGGTGTCGGAGGGGGTGAGGAGGGAGGAGGAGTTGGAGGTAGGGTTGGTGGTGAGGTTTGCCATGATGGAGAGGGCAGAGATGAGTATGATAACCAGGCAAGGAAGTATGATTTGAAGAAGAGACGACGATAAGAATGGACTCGATATCAAATCGATATGCAAGCAGAGAGAAACAAATCCCCCAACACCCTCTATGCCGGAGAAAACCGTTACAATATACCCAAGAAGAAGATGCGAAACAGTCACCTCTTTATATGTCCATCCATCCATCCACCAGACGATCAAACAAGGCAATCGCCGCAGTCACAGAGACAAGAAAAATGCAACTTCCGGTCCAACAGTACAGTCAGTAGTACAACGCCCAGGCAAAAATAGGCACCCCACATAACAAAACCAAGCCACTGGCTAACAGCAGCCTTCTTCCTAAACGATCTGCAACATTCAATCTAACCCAGTCAATCATCCAACGAATCATCCTTCAATTCCACAACGATGTGACTAACAAGTCCTGCATTCCTTTGCCGCAGTCATTGCATAGTGTAGGCGCGCAAGGCTGGCACAGTGGGTCCACCGTTGACTCACGATCGGCGTCTCGACTGGGGGTATGATTGCCTTTGTATACTGTAGTGTAGACCCCATACAGTAGGCCAGAAGTGCACGGTTCATCTGCTTGGTGATGCGGGATTTTTTAGTTGCTTTTTTCAGCTGGGATCTTCTGGATGCATGAGGCTGGAGAATGGTGCCTGAGAGGGTGGTGTTGCTGCCTAGGTGCCTAGGGGTACCTAGGGTACGGGTGCCTGGATATTGGTGCCTGAGGCTTGTGCTTGAGGATTCATATCTTCATCTAAATATGCATGTCTCTTGGTAATTTGTTTCTGTCTTCTCTTTGATTACGGGTTATTCAAACATGTAGCTGCATCAGTTTATAAGTTCTACCGCACATATTGGACCCTTCTTTTTGTTCTCCTGCGTAAATCTCCCAGATAGCACAATAATGTTGACGGGAAATGACTCCGAATGAGAATATGAATCGATTATTGTGGCTTGGCGTTTACGTTGGCCTCTATTTTCTGAAAGCATGTCAATACTAGCGCGACTGCTAGAATGGCGCAGTGCTTGACTTACGGCGCAGTTGAAGGTTAAGGCGTAAAGCTGCCATGGTTCTTGGATATTCTACGAGGCGTCTTTCTGCCTTTGTTCCACCAGAGTTGTACTTTGTCACCGTAGGCGCCATGACTTCTCTGGATAGCGTGATGGTGGCAGAGGCTCTAAAAAATCGGTGCGCGTTGAAACACGCAGCTCACCCAATTATATGGTGATTTCAAGAAGACCTGGATGGGGCTCTAATAGAGCCATTAATTTGAGGACAGATCCTTTCTCCCTGGTTATCATGGCTCGTCAGAGAGACGCCGGACGGAGCCCGTGAGAGAAGGGCGACCCAACTGCTGATAGTTAGCTCAGCCCAGTCCAGCTTTGCAGACAAGCAAACGTACCTCCGGCGAGGTCTGATTTGTGCCGTGCTAGCTTTGTAACACCCAACATGATTATTCAGAACAGATTTGATGATCAGTTTGAAAGAGCAAGAGAATAAAAGAGAATGAAATGAAATGAAGCAAATGAACGGAGTAGCCTCTAACAAGCCAGCGGTGATATATCGCCAAAACAGAATGGGTATCTCGAAATATTAATCCCGGCCAATGCCTCACGGCACAGGCGGATAGGCGCAAGAAAACGAGTCAGAATGGAACAGAATATATAAAAAATCACATCTAGATGATCAATCCGAGGTCCAAAAATTGTCTTTGATCGTCTCATACGTATCGGTCGCCCAATCCTTGGCGTCCTCAAGCTTACCCCAGAGCGTTCCCCACCAGGTAGGGCCTTTCTCGTCATCGCTTTCCGGGTTGGATTCCGGTTGCGGTTGGGGTTCTTTGCTGGGCGTAGGCTGTTCAGAGGGAACGGCCACAGGGGTTTTTGTAGGAGTCACATTGGCAGCAGGGCTACTGGCTGGAGGGTCGGGAGGATTGTCAAGAGGAGGCGAATTTTGATCCGAATGGATCCCAACCGGCTTCAGAGGAAGACGCAGGGTTCCGTTGTTGGGGAGAGGAGTGATACCAAGGGTATCGCAAATGATGTTGTATACATTGACGTTTTCTGCACGAGTTAGAATATCTACCGAAGTTAATAGCATGGGGAGTACTCACGGAAAGGCTCTAGACGGCTATTGCGTTCATGAGGGAACGAAGGCCCCCTAGCGACAAAGATGGCCCGCATGAGAGGGTGTTCGTGATCGTAGCCATGAATACCTTTTGGATGGTAATCCTCTCCTTTCTCCAGGGCCTGTTCAGCATCAAAGTCAGGCCGCTCAACAATCGCCCATCCGGTTTTCGGGATGACCCAGAGGGGAGCTATGCGATCGTTGTTCTTGAAGTGGTAGCGTTCCGGCATGGTCTCTCGAGTATAAACCTCCACGGCATCAGAGTAGTTTGCAGCGATGTTCTCTAGCTGGTCCTGGAGGGTCTTCAGATCCTCTTTCCGCTTAGGGCGTATTCCACGTAGCGGCCACCCATCGATACGATCAACAAGATCCATATCTATCAAGTCATCCAGCTGAACCAACCGCTCCGTGGAGGTTGAAGCCATGCCATGGTCAGACACGATCACAACGTTCACGATCTCCGTGAGATTCCGTTCTTGGAGGCCAGAGAAAAGGCTTCCAAGCATGTTGTCGACACTGGAAATTGTGCCACGAATCTCTGTGCTGTTCGGGCCGTATTTGTGACCATGCGCATCTACGTTGGGCACGTAGAAGGCAATGAACTGTGGCCGCTCTGGGGTATCCAAGGACTCATCCTCGGAGCCCGGCATGTCAAGGAACTCCAACACACGATTTATCTTCCGCGGAAGAGCCTCGGACCCGTTGTACTCATCCAAAAGACTAGGTTCCACATTTCCAATATGTGCCTCCGAGCCGGGCCACATGTGGATAGCGGTTCTCAGTCCCTGGTTCTCGGCGGTCATCCACACCGGCTCGGCATTCCACCACTTGGGCTGCATGCTGACAGATGGGTGCGTGTAATAGAACTCTTCCTGCAGGTTCGGGTCCCAGAATGTATTTCCCACGATTCCATGGCTTTCCGGATATAAGCCTGTAACGAGAGTGAAGTGGTTCGGAAAGGTGACACTAGGAAAGCTGGGTAGCATGTATTGCGGAGAAACGCCGTCGGCGATGAAGGAGTTTAGCGTCGGCGTTAGACCGCGGTTGAGGAAGTCGGCTCTAAAGCCATCGAGCGAAATTAGGATAGTGGTGGGTGCGAACAGAGCGGACCCGTTTGAAAGAAGGGGAGGCGGTCGCGAATGCGATGCACGGAATTTCGTCGAGGCTTTATAGGCACCCAGTAGGCAGATGAGGAAAAGAACGAAAATGGCGGAAAAGAGTAGCGCAAGCTTGCGCCACGAGACAGGGCGCGTCTGCGGGAAAGACAAGAACACATTAGCTAAGTCAATAATCAACGATATCAACGCTCATACCTCTTCATGTGTATATTTCTCTTTAACGGGTTGTCCCAAGTCAGAGGAAGAGGCGGAGCTAAGCAGAGAACTCTCATCTTCCCGGTGACCTTCCTCCATTTCATACATCAGTTCCCCGGAATCCGACAACTTGTGGCGCTCCTTGCGTGCATCTCGGCGAGCTTGCCTCCGCTGCTGTCGACGTTCTCGCTTTCCAATCTTGACACCGCTGCTACTGGGACTGAATATACGACGGAGACCCTGGGCGGGTCCTTTCCTCGTCAACAACTTCTCGGTTTCTTCCTCGTCGTCCAAGACAGTGCGATCGTGTTCAGCTAGTTCCAACGTGGTACGGGAATGGCGGAGAAATTCATCGTCTTCCGAGTCCGAGTCCTGCTCGGAGGGAGACCGTAACGATTCGGCGTCTTCATCGTAGTCGCCAGGGGATAAAAGGGAGTGACTGTGGCGCTGACGCTGTGAAGGCATGGGGGATGATGGATATGATGAACAAACAAAGAATGGAGTAGATTCAAGACAGGGGCGATCCCTCCTGCTCTTCACTGGGAGATCACCGGGGCCGAGGCCGCTGACTCAGCGAGGGGAATTCTTTCTCCGCTCCCCAATCTGAGTAGGATTACTCTGCAACACCTTGGAATCATCATTCGTGTTGGCCAAGATTCCTTCTTCTACTGGACCCTGGTATTGACAGTCAGGGTTTCCGAGCTTCGCAAACTCCTGCAACCCAAACTCCGGCAGAGAAGTTGCCCTCCACGCCATGGAAAACGCAAACTTTCCGTGTAGGGCCATTGTCGAAGGCTAGGAAGCCAACCTTCTTGAGCGGTTGATTAACCTACCTCATTGCGTCTGTGGGGTCGATTTAAGGTAATGGTTATGATTACTTCAGGTCGTGGAAAGAGCCTGCTAGGCCGTCTTGATCGATCCGCCTCTCTGGCTCTAGCTGCACCCGATCACCGGAGATCTTACAATTATACGGTGCACAGGGAAATATCTTGCCTTTGGATGGAAAACAAATGCCGTGAACAGCCGACGGTTCATACACGGTAGGGCGTAGAGTCTGTCGCGCCTTATGATTGACACGGTATGGAGAAGGCCCCACAGTTGTGGCGTGGGAGTCCTGAGCCTTGAGATTATCCTCTTGTAGACAAAGGGTTTGTTGTTGAAATGTTTGGTTGCTCTTCAGGCTTTTCTTCTTCACTTTCTAAACTATTGCTACAACTCAAAGCGAAATCCTTATTCCCTTCCCATTTCAATCATCTACCCTGATCTCTTCGTCTACTCGCCTAGTATGCGGCTTGGCTTCTTGGGCCTTGGGGTCATGGGCAGCGCTATGGCCCGGAACCTCTCCAAGAAGTATCCTCTCATGGCTTGGAATCGAAGTCCCGCCAAATATGCCACCCTCAAGCAAGCCGGAGCAGTCTCGATTGGAGAAACACCTGCAAGAGTCGTGGAGAACTCAGACATTATCTTTATGATGCTCTTCAATGCCGCAGCAATCCAGTCCATCCTTGACGCCGATTTCAAACGGGCTCTTCCAGGCAAAATACTAGTCAACACTAGTTCGGTGTCTGTCGAATCCAGCAAACTTTTCGATAAAGAGATCCGAGAAGCCGGTGGACAGTTTCTCGAGATGCCGGTTAGTGGCAGCAAAGTTCCCGCGGAAGAAGGTCAGCTCGTTGGGATGATGGCTGGAGACCCGGATCTGGCAAACACTATCAGGCCTTTCGTGAAACCGATCACTCGCTCTGCTGTCTACTGCGGTCCTATTGGCTCCGGCCTGAAGGCAAAGTACGCCATCAACACATTGCTGATCACTCTCACCGTTGGATTGGCTGAGTCTATGAGTCTGGCCAAGGCCCAGGGTCTCGATCTTGCAGCGTTCAGACAAGTCCTGGAGGCGTGTCCTATGGCATCAGCCTATTCGCATATCAAAATCGGCAAGATGCTTGATCAGGATTGGTCTCCACAGGCCGCGCTCAAGGATTGTTACAATAGCACGCAGCTCATTCAGTCTGCCGCTGTTTCAGCAAATGTCAAGTCGCCACTCATGGATGTGTGCGGGAAGCTATATGCACAGGCTTTGGACGCGGGCCAGGGAGAAGAAGACATGATTGCGATTGCTAAACAGATTGGGAACCGCGAAGAATAGTCTGGATGCGCTCTCTTGTTCATTTCCTTGTTCTCTTAGATTACACATATCACCATAGATGGCTACAGGGGTGATTTACCCTCCTCCAGAGTAAAGGAAGTTTAATGCTTAGACACCTTCAGCAGAGGTTGTGTCACGGTGACAGAATGATATTATCAATGCCTTGTATGGAGCAGTTTCAGCAGTCCTATGCGAATAAAGCAGTGGGTCTATATCGGGAGCCCCGCTGGAAAGGAAAATGCAAAGCATTCAAACATTAAGCGGAAGGGATCATCCTGTACCACACTCGTGTCACAGTGCCAGAAAACACTGATTTACAAGGCCGCAACATCATGGAACCCAAAGTAGGGATTGGAATTTTCGTTCGCAACGCTGCTGGCCAGTTCGTCTGGGGAAAGAGAAAGGGAAGCCATGGCGCAGGTGAGTCACGGAGTGCCGAATAGAACTACCCTCGACACATCTTCATCGTGCACTTTTTCAAACTCGGTATCTTACTTTCATTCCAGGAAAATGGGCAGTGCCGGGTGGTCACCTCGAATTTGGCGAGACCTTTGAGAAATGCGCGGAACGCGAACTTCTCGAAGAGACGGGCATGCACGTTAGAAACCTGCGTTTCCTGACTGCTGTGAACAATGTCTTCGAGAAGGAACAAAAACACTATGTCACTGTGTTTATGGGAGGCACCGTGGATGATGGGGTTCAACCCCAGGTGAGTGAGGCTTTTATTGGCTTTGCGTTGATTTTCTGCCTGCTAACCTCGAGTAAAGAACTTGGAACCGGAGAAATGCGAGGCTTGGGAATGGACATCGTGGGATAAGCTTCGTACCTACAGAGATGCGCAGTTGAACTCGGGGCCTGACTTTGCCGGACGCCAGTTGTTCTTGCCTCTTGTGAATCTATTTGAACAACGGCCTGACTTCTATATCTAGCAGCCAACTATCTTACGGTAATCAAATGCCTTAGCGACTTGTGAGTAGTTCCATCACCAAGCTGCGTGTAGAACAAGTTGGGACTCGGGAAGAGGTCGTTCTACTACTAAGCACAGGACGATTAATCGACCACTTAATTTTCTGTAACTGATAGCAAAGGCGTAACTCAACAAGTAACAAACCAGCGATGACTCAGGTACATCTATCGTTGCTTATATCTATGGATAATGCTCCAGCGATGTAAAAGGCTTCCGAGTACTCTCCACGCCACACCAGTCAAAAGACTCGGTATTCCTGATGTAATGCTTATCCTGGAATCCGAGGCATGAACACTACAAGGCCGTGACAGTCGCAGTGGCGCGTAGCAGAAGAAATGATCGACATTCTATGGAATGTATAGAGCACCAATCGAACGCTCCCTGCAGCTTTTTAGTATGACTAATGAATGAAGACGGCGTTCTCTCTTGGGTTTCCAACCCTCCGGACGATGTGGTCTGTTTCCGTGCTTGGATCCGTGGATGCTTTCATACTTTCACCGGTTCCGCTCAATGTCCATTGTCTCTGGATCACGACTCCGGCCTTTGTTGGCAGATGGCTAACGGTCTAAGAAGGGTCAGAGCGCAGGAATGGATCGACATGCCTGTCTGCTTCCGGCCCTGAGAACGCTTGCCTATTTGGGAATGCTAGGGCTGAAGACGTCTCATCACGTGATATGGCATTCCTTTTGCGTTCGCCTCGTCGAGCAGTCGTGATCTGACCATTTACGGCCATTTTCGCACAGAAGGTAGTCTCTTTGCCTTCGAGATGCAGCCGCCCCGGATTCAGGCCTACTCCAAAGGCGTCAGACGCTCACATCATTCCCCCCTGTCCGATTCCGGCAAGGTTCCTTCGAGAGGACGAGAGCAACTTTGCACTCCGAACGAGAAGTTGATGCCGGATCAGTCTCGACAAGAACAATATAAAATACCCCTGCTCGACCCGGTGGCTGGTCATTCTTATCCATCATTCTTCTTCGCATACTTTCTCTCAAAAAGCCACCGTTGTCTATCCCTCGCAACGCTACGCACCAGCCATCAGTGAATATCTTTCAAGATCATTGGCACTTCATTTCTTCACAATGCACTTCTCTACTCACGTTGTTGGCGCCTTGGCCATCGCGGCTGGCACTGCTAGCGCTGCTGATCTTCATCAGAGGGGAGACACTATCACAACGACCATCTGTGAAACTGTAATTACTCCTCTTCTACCCCTTCCCAACTTGATTTAACGGTCTAACCTTGCTCAGAGCGTGATCCATGTCCCTCATGCTACCTCCCCGGCTGGCCACCCCGAGGCCCCTGTTGTTCAGCCTGTCCCGACTGGTCACCCTGAGGCTCCTGCTGCCCATCCCAGTGCTCCCGCGGGTAAGCCCGAGGAACCGGCCCACCCCAGCGGCCCTGCTGGCAAGCCGGAAATTCCTCACCAAGGCCAGCCTGAAGCTCCTGCTGGACAACCTGAGGCTCCCGCTGGACAGCCCGAAGCCCCTGCCGGACAGCCTGAAGCTCCCGCTGGCCAACCTGAGGCTCCCGCTGGCCAACCTGAGGCCCCTGCCGGACAGCCTGAAGCTCCCGCTGGACAACCTGAGGCTCCCGCCGGACAGCCCGAAACCCCTGCCGGCCAGCCTGAAGGACACCCCGTGATCCCCGTGATCCCTATCCCCGAGCCCAGCGCCCACCCGGCCAACTCCAGCGCCCCTGGCTCCAAGCCCAGCGTGCCCATCATCCACACCAGCCCCCAGGCCACGCCCCCTACCACCCAGGCGCCGCACGCGACTCCCAGCGTCTCCGTGCCTAAGTACCAGAACTCGACCACGCCCAAGTTCCACAACTCGACGACCCCCAAGTCCACCGCGACGGGCGGCCATGGCGGCGGCAACGGCGGCAACGGCGGCGGTAATGAAGGCGAGGTGCCCAAGCCCACGGCCACCGGGTTCACTCCTGCCAACCCAGGCTCGAAGGTCATTGTTCCTGGCCTTGCGGTTGCGGGATGTGTCGCGCTGGGTCTGCTTCTTGTGGCTTAGACTTGAGATGCCATGGGACCTTCTTTGCCTTGACAAGTCCTTTCTTTCTTATGGTGGACGTACCATCACTGAAGTAAGCATGTGCCTTCCTAGATTACTAGGGTTAGGGGCATATGCTACTTTTTCATGATTATGCTTTTCTATTTCTATTTGTCTTTCCTTTGTATTCCGGGCACTGAATTTTCCTGATTCATTCTCTGATTCAAGAATGGGTTGAAAAAAACTACTGTCAGACAGAACAGAAGGCGTCTTTGGTGTGATATATATGGCTTTTTTTTCTCGAGTTACGGTTTCGTTTCCAGTTTTTCTAGCACTTAATAAATAAGTTTAATGGAATTCAGATAAAGACATTCTTCTCGTTGTTCCTTTTTCATATATAAAACCATTCTATGTCTCTGGATTGTTTCTCAACACCTTTTACTATGCTCAACCCCGAATTGCTTGTCCACAAATGGCTAACGCCACACGTTACGCTCTCTGCAACACTAACTATTCTTTAACTTATTTAGGAAAAAAGTGCTCAAGATTGTTGTTATCATGGGCTCCTATTCTCAGGCAAGAGGGTTGTTTGTTTCCGACGAAGTATTGCTTTTACATACCAGATTAATAAGGAACAATAGAACGTGAGATCCCAACAAATGCAACCAAATTAGTTCGACCTAGAGCATTATCCTTGAACATCACATCCCCTCTTCACAATAACTCCAGATTAGTTCCAGCGAACAACATAATCCCTCTTCCTCTCAGAATACACCCCTCCCAACCTAGATATCTAACTTCTCGAAACCCAATTCGCCCACTGGCAAGCACACCCACCCGTGCCCCCATCAAAACCCCCAAGATCCTGATCCCTCTCACTCCCCGAAGAACTCGTATTAAAGATCCCCGGCGCCGGGTTAACAAGCAAACCACCGAAATCGCGGTCCTCGATTTGCAGCTTCTTCTCCGTCCCGTTGATGTGCAGGTCGCTTTCCAACCCGTAGCAGTAGAGCATCTTTTTCTTGGCTTCGCCGCCGTGGCGGTCGAGGGTTATGGTTATTGGGTAGGGGAAGGAGCCGGGGCGGGTGAAGTGGCTTGCGGATGAGTTCGTGGTCGTGCTGGTGGAGGAAGAGGATTGGGCGGTGGATGTTGGCGTAACGGATGCGGAGCTAGTACTGTTGCTGCTCAGGAGTGTCTTGCCTGATCGTCCAGGTTGTGTCCAGATTTGGACGAGGAAACGGGTCTGCGCCCAGGTGCACCGCACACGAGCTTTTGTTTTGCTAGAGCCGCCGTTGTCGTCGTCTTTGGGGTCTGACTTGCTGCCGTCTAGGGGACTGGATGAGGACAGGAAGATCGAACGGTCGAAGTATGTGTAGAAGCCGTAATGCTCGCTATCTTGGCCTCGGTTGTAGAGCCGCACGGGCTGTGATTCAGGGAGGGGATATAGATTCGCCGCGGCGGCAGTGCCATCAGAGTCCACGTCCGGGGAAGGGATGAGCGATTCCAGATCCGGGAATGAGTTGTCAGACCGGCGCACATTTCGGACTGTTGAAAGAGGCACGGGAGATAGAACGGTCATGTAGAAGGGGGTTTCTTCGCCGGCGTAAGGGAGAGTGTTGTTATCCGTAGTGTTTCCGAGGAAGGCCTGTTCTTTCATATCTGGCGGAGACGGAGATGAATCAAATGAGCCAGGTGTCCTAGATGCGAGCCGTTTGCTTGGACTTGACGCTACAGTCGTACTGTTTGGATAGGTGCCATTGCGAAATCGAATCTCCACTCGGAAATTAGGCTGGTTGGCAGGATAGGGCTTATTAGCATCTTGTTGCTCTTTCGGCAACGCACAGCTCCAAAGAGAAGCAGGAGTGATGCATCCCGAATTCTGCACTCTGGGCTCCGGGGCGGCAACCGTTGCGATGCCCGTGGGCATCGGTGGATAGCCGGTCAGATTCAGCCACTGCGATTGAACTGGCGTTGCGTCGCCTTTTTTGGTGAGTACAATGGCAAGGACGATAGCGACGATGACAATGGCGAGGAAGAAGGCAGCAATTGCCATGTACCATCGACGCTTCAGCCGACCTTCGCGTCCGGATCTACCAAAGCAACCCTTGTTGGGGATACATCCTCTCCCACGCCACAGTCCGCCCGCCTTCTTTCCGAGTGCTTCTTCCTTTTCATGCCTTCGTCGCCGGGACTCAATTCTCTCCCTCTCGGCAAAGGGATTTGTCGTTGCCTCTCTTGTTATGGGAACGGGTTCGATGCGTGGCGGAAGAGTAGCCGGGTCGTTGCGAGAGGCTGTGTACGCAGGTGCCGGGCTGTTCTCCATATCACCTAATGGAATGGATCCTGATCCCTCCGTTGCTTGTTGAAACCCTGGTGAGATGGGATCAGGGCGTTGTGGCTGCGACGGCTGCGCTTCATGATGAGGGGGAGGTATCATTACGTATTGAGGAATAGTTCTCTCGGTAGTGACGACGGGAGCTGGTGCCTGAATCGGGACTGGAGCTTGCTGAATATACACATGTGTGACTGGCGGCGGCTGCGGTACAGCAGCTGGTTGCTGTTGGGCGAAAGGATTAAACGACTGATGCTTCTCGTTCCCGTAGTCTGCTGGCGCTGCTTTATCCATGCCTCCCCTGGCCTGTGGCTCGGGGGCCGGGGTACCATGTCTGGATGGTTCTGGTGAGCTTTCAATAGGAGTGTTGTCATCATCTGGAGTAGCTGGTACAACTCCTCTGGTCTGCGGCTCTGGGGAACCGGTCTTTGGGGTTTCTGGCATAATCCCTTTGGGGGGGTCATCTTGCTTTGGGCTGCGACTCGGAACAGTTGATCCGTCAGCTGCAACCGACGCACCACAGGAGCAAGTTTTTGAGACCGACGTGGGCGCCAAAGAGCTTCTATCTTCGTGCGGCTCGGACCGGGGCATATCGTCGACGTCTATTAGAAGACCCCTTTCATTCACCGTACCATCCGCAGCCAAGTCCGGCTCTGAGACTGGTATCGTATCCTTAGGTGTAATAGAACAGACATGGTTCAGGCATTCAAAGTAAGATCGGCCGCTGAACAGTTCGTGGGCACACGCTTGGTAATACTCGGCTGCTGAGCCCTGGATCGCGCGTCCGGGAAACATGAACGACGTAGCATTTCGTTCCCCCAATGGCTCAGCCTGAGGGTCCGTTATCGAGTTGAAATCAGCAAATGGATTCGTATCGCAGTTTTGCCAGCTAGCGACCTCCCCTCGGGTGACCCCTGCGGTCTCCGGAGTTTCTGGCGAGAAGCATGAGACTTCCTTTTCCCACCATTCGTCAGTCGACTCGGACAGGTTGGTTTTGATGGCTGGAACCGGAGGTCGATCCGCGTCTGTAGGGGCTTTCCTGCTAGAGATTGTGCTGGATCGACCTAGTAGCGGCGAAAGAAGGTATGTCCACCACCCTTGAGACTGATGCCGATCGTATTCAGTATTAACGCTCAAACGACTGACTCCATCGATGCCGCTCAATCGATCGAAGGCCCGTTTGACGCTGCTACTCGAGTATGACCGAGAACGAGCGCCAGGTCGTGATACCTCATCTTCTTCGAATACTGTGCCTGCAGAAAACGAACGGTGCTTTCTCGTCGATGCCAGAGACCGTCTGCGGGGAGATTTTGGGCTGATGATTTCGTTCTTGGCCGCTGCATGCTGTGCGGGGATGGCTGGAACAGGTGGTACGGGAGTTTCGCTATCCTCCAAGCAGGGAGTCGGCTGAGAGTAGATGCTCGAAGTCGCTCTGGGGCGGGGATAGTCAGGTGTCAGTCCAGTCCAGAAGCCATCTTCCTTGGCCGGCGTGACCACGATTGAAGGCGTGAGAGGCGTCCGTTGACTGTCCCCGATGTCAAGCTCCCGTGGTTTCTCATTCTGCGAGTCTGGGGATCCGTCAAACGGCATGCTGAACCCAATCATTATGGGTCGATCGGACGGTGATAGCTCGTCCTTGTACTTCTTTTTCGGCGATATCCTAGGCGTCATATCGATCCAAGTAGACCGCCTCCTTGTCGGGTTTGGAGAGTCTTCCTGAAGATGCTGATAATCCTGATTGTTTCTTTTCTTCAAAATTCCTTTAATCTTTTGTGTAGACCTCTCCTTCTCTCGCTCCTCTGAAAGTACCTTCAGGTCGTTCAGATCCATCAACGGCGGCTCTGTCGTCTTTGCCTGGGCACTAGGGTGTGACGAGAAATCGGTCACTAGGTTCAACCCCACTGGCTTTTCACCACTATTCTTCGCTGCAAGCGATCCGGGGCCAGACTCGCTGCTTTGGTGCCCATTTTGGAGATTGTATGCGTTCGTCTCCAACTGATTGCTTCCTGAATTGCGCTCATACTCCGCTTTTCGAACAAAAGGGTTTCGACTGGTAACTTTCGACAGATATTCAAACGGGCGAGTCCTTTCCAGGTCCCGCTCATCGGACGAAGACGAAGTTGGGCTCGCAACCTCTTCGGTGATGGGTGATGATAAAGGGAAGTTTGGGACTGTGGGGATTCGCAACTCGGCGTGGGGATATTGTCGCCTGAACGCCATCTTTCTGCCACTGTAGACACTGGTTTCTAGGAGTAGCGTTCTTGTTAGTAGAAAATGCTAGAGCTCACAGCAAGTAGGTATCTTACCGTGAAATGTCAAATTCCTCAGGGAGTAGAGATCACTCCCAAGCCGGCGGGCAGTGAGCGAGTATAAGTGAGAAACTAACAACAATTGACAATGAAATGCAAACACAGCAGAAATTTAGAAAGCGAAAGACATGAATAGGATTCTATGAATGCAAACAATGGCTGACAATGCAAAACGCCGGTGAATGTTTGGAACAAAGACAACGACCGCTCAAAGAAAACAAGTCAATAGCACCAGCTATTGTCCTTCACACCTTATGCAATGAGATAGAATAAGGTCACAAAAGAGAGAGAGAGAAACGAATGTGAAGAGAAATAGAGAAACAGTCAGCTTTTCATCTTAGCGAGCAATCTCGAGGACAGAGCAAGGAAAGTAAACAAATGAGCATCCGCAAGCTGGAGGGACGGGCCAGTAACGCCAGGATGCGACGGGAGTCTAGGTCCCAAAGGAAAGCACGCCGGGTGAGACAAGAGGAATCCATTTTGCAAGACAGAGCTACTCTCGCACGCCTGATATAATTAGCTCAGGAGCTCATGCATCAGGATCACCCGCTGAAGGCAATCCATTGGGCATTACCATCGATTCTCCCGTGCTGCAGAATGCTAAATGTCCGGCTGCCATGACTCCAGCGGGATCTTGCCAATATCCTCACGGGCACCATTGGACAGTGTTGTGTGATCGGCTCTGCAGAACACAATCTGAGACGCAGGTCCCAGGCCAGGCATTGGTTGGACCAAGAAGCACTGGCATATGCGTAGCCGCTCTTCTGGGTCCGGCGCGTAGAGAAACGGCTTGACGTGAAGGATGAGGTTGCGAGAATCCAATCAGCGACGTACTTGTTCCCCGGGACAAAAATAGTTGGCAGTCTTGACGATACTTGTCTCTTCATACGGAAAAAAACATGCAAGCAACGCATGCCGGCTGCCGTAATCGAGTGAGCTGGATGACCCTGGTACGTAATACTCGCTGCTTCGAGGCCCAAGAGCGCCGCTAGCAACCAAGTCGGTGTCGAGCCCGGACGAAAACTAAATCCAAGATGCGAAAAATAAATTCCACGGAACTTCTGCCAATATGAAGAAACGTTAAATGTTTTGGTATTCAAAGTGGCCGCTCCCACTCAAAAAGCAAAAAATCATCCCAAGCGCCATCAGCATGATAAACAGATGGGGATATAAATTGCACACCGTACACAAGTGCTTCTGCTGGAATTTTTTTGGTACAAAAAAATGCACTGTCAAGTTCCCAAAGGACCCAGTTGCAGAGATAAGAATAAAAAGCAAGGTAATAATAATGCACACTTCCCATAACCAATCCCAATCCAAGATATCCCATTTCCAATGCAAAAGATATAAAAGAAAAAGCGCATCTGAATGCAGCGCAGCCAAAGCAAGAATCGAAAAAGCAATGCCCTCAGTCATAGGTCGGACGTCACATCGCGTGGCACAAAACTCAAAGCCTCCCAACCATTGGTGTTGTTTTACCAGGCTGAGGAAGATGGTGAAAGCAAGGATGAGAAACAAGTCTCGCTCCAATAAAAAAAGACTCGGCCACCCAAATCAAATCTACAAGCAAGTCAAAGAAAAACCAGTTCCGCGTCTAGGGAGTAAAGAACACAGGGGTGTTGAAACATGACAAAAACAAGGATATCGAGAGAAAAGGAGTGAACGCAGATTTTGAATGAGGGTATAAATGGGTCCGGCACAAGAGAATTGAACCGAAAGTTCTGACCGACATCATCCGCAGAATTATCGTCGGTCGTCGGTATACTGTACGCCTTGCATTGGGGCCACGGATCCGTTCATGAGAGGAGGCAACGTTCGCGGTTGTTCCTGTACCATCCCAGGTCCGGGGGCGTAGTTGGTATATATCGGGCCATGTGTTTGGCCATTCGGCTGCGGGGCCATTGGGTGGTGTTCGAATATGGACGCTGGTCGCGATTGTCCGTTGGGTTGCTGCTGGTTGAGCTGGCTACGCATCTCTTCGAGTTCAGATCGTAATACATCGTTATCACGACGGGCACTGGTAATCATCTTTTCCAGTTGGGAGATATATTCGATCGCTGCAAAGATGTTAGTGATTTCACGATAGAACATACCAGCGAGGGGGGAAGGGTGATTTACCTCTAGTCAGAGTCTCCCATTTGCTAGATTTGTTATTTTGACTCTGCGGGAGTCGCACCCGTAAAGCCTCAAAACAGTCCTTCATCTCACTGCGACGCTTGCGCTCCGCCAGTTTGTGGGTCACCCTCAATTCAGGCGTTCTGCTGTAGGGAGTATTGCCATTTTGAAGATCGGGGTCTCCAATAAGACCGCGCACTTGTTTGTGCTGTAGGGAATGGTGGTGAACACTCTGGGGGAGTTCTATCACAAGAATCAGTACAAGGTTTCAGCGCAAAACGCGGGACAAAAAAAAGAATTGCGCACCATGTTGGCCGCGAGGCAAACGAGATTCCGAGTAGATACTGCTAGTTATAGACTCAGCAGTGCTTCCCTTTCGGGAAAACTGGATATTCGGCTTGTCGTTTGTGGACGAAATCGAGTTTGACCGAGCGACATCCGGGTCCGGAAACGCATAGGCAAGACCGGCGGTGGGAGCCTCAGCGTTGTAAATCTCGGAGCGAGGATTCGACGAGATCGCAGGCGCAGTGCGGCCAGCCGCAAAACTGCGATGTTCGCCAGGTCGCGGACCAAGTGGAGACAAAGGTTGACCCTGCGAGTAACGAGGCCCTCGGTAGGAAGGATTCATGTTCACGTCCATGGAGATGCCTCGTTCCCTCTGCAGGCCCGATACGATCGAAGTTTGCGAGGCATTCGTGCTATGATAAGGCGAAGCGGAAACGGGATTGATGGCAAGCGAGCTGATCCCCTGGTTCATCCTACTGTCTATGCTGCTGCGGCGCGATTCCGGCGGTTCTGCGATGCTGCCCCGTTGGGATGGGGCTTCATAGTTTTGATTGATCGAGGGCAGTGCTGAATTGGGCTGGGATGAGCCAAAGTGAGGAGAGGGCTGTGCCCCGGCAGAGGAGGGAGTATTGGTATTCGAGTGATCGTTGGCGTAAGGGGACCGGTCGGACACGGCAGACAAGCGGTTGGGAGAGGGGTGGGTTGACGTGAGGAAGGATAAGGATGGGTAATTGCCGGTACCGTTTGTCGCGGTGGAATAGGTAGACGACCCTATGATGCACGTCAGCCTGAAATCGAAAGTTTAAAGTCAGACAAAAACCGGACTCACTTGCGCTCTGAGCAATGGACCAGTTTCCCGAGTCCCGCTCAATCGTATTCAAAGAAGTATTGCCTGGTGACTTCTCCGCAGGTGGGGGTGCAGTGCTTGTCATGCTCGCAGTAAGGGTTGATATCGACGGGAGTGTTTGCGTTGAAGGGACCGGAGGAGTCTGCGGCCCCGTGGAGACCGGCTCCCATGGACGGTGGGTAAGTGTTGCTTCCATGACAGACATAGAAAAAGGAAAAATGGGCAAAGTCCAGGAAAAGGGTATCGCGATCGGGTTAAGGTAGGAATTCAAGGGGCGCCCTGGTATGGAGCAAGCAGGATTAAGTCGGATATATCACGCTTCGCACTATCTCATGTTCCGCGAGTCGGCAAGGCAAGCAGGTCGAATGATGGGATCAAAATCGGCAGATAGTTCGGTGAGATAGAATCTCCGTCCACTAGCAAGGAAATAATAGCCCGTGTAACTATAGAGCAGTTGCCAGGACGGTTCGTGATATGCAGTATCGAGATCACCCCCGAGAAAACTGCTCAACGTTGACTCGGATTCTGTTTCGTACGGTGGTTGATCGACTCGACGACGCGACTTGGTAGAATATTCGGTTGACTCCGATCTCGGTCCACACAAGCAGTAAGATGAAACCCCCAGGCCGGTGTCGACAGCGTAGTAATTGAACACTGAATAAGAATGACAATGCGACTTGCAGTCAGGGTGGTGGAAACGGAGGGGCGAGGCGGGCAAAGATCAGGTGAAAGAAGGATGGATGGTGAAGAATTCCCGATGATGGAGTAGTAATGACCGAAATTAAGTGTATTGTCGAGACCGCCCCAGTAGCTGCTAGTTCGGGGGTGGGAGCGATAAAAGAAAAAGGAAAGAAAAGAAAGAGAAAAAAAAAAGCGGTAAATCTTGCTGGTACTGGAAACAGAGAAATCGTATCAGTTTGGAAAACGAAAAAAAAAAAAAGGAAAACAATTAAAATAAATTAAAAATTAGAATAAAAAATCATAACGGAAAAATAATGACAGTTAAAATCCTGAGCCAATAAGTCCAGGGTATGGTTCGCAGATGATGGATCGCACAGGAGCTTACCTTAGGCGAAGGCGCAAACGCTCGGGAGGTGCAGTAGAACGTGGCACGAAAATAAGAGAGCGAACAATTGGGCAGGAAGAAGTTTAAGAGAAGAGGGTCCGACCGACGGAGGGCCCAGCGAAAACCACGCTGCTGCGGGGGGGGAAAGGGTGGAAAAGACTGAAAAAGAAAGATGACCAGGGGAAACGGTTCGGAAGGACGGGAAGAGGGGAGAGAAGGAGGGGTGTGGGCAAGAGAGCAACGGAGATTTTGAAGAAGGGGAGACTGAGAGAGAGGGTGTGGGAGAATTAAAAAAAAAAAAAAAAAAAAAAAAAAAAAGAGGGAAGGGAGAGAGAGTGGTCTAGAAAAGAGCGAGAAGTTGTGGTTGTGGCAGCAGAAAATCCGTCACGGAGTACAGTGCCAGTGGTGGTTAGTTTCCCAGGACCAGATCCAGTGGAAAAGGCTAGTTTAGTAGCGGGAGCTATCGATGATGTTCAGACTAAATGAAGTTGGGGCGGAGTCAAGGGCTGCCAGCAGTCAAAGAAAATTTAAATAGAATAGAATTAATTAATTGTAGGAATACTCGACATACACTGTTTTTTCCCTTTCCTTTTTTTTTTTATCTTTTTGGTTTAGAAAATAATCTTCTTGCCTGGTCACTTTTCTTTTTTAGGGAAGGGGGGGGGGGGTGGAAGAAAAGAGGCGTAGTCGTGACCGGAGCTAAGGAGGACGGTCAAATGAATTGACAAAAGGCAGAAGAATAGTAAAGAGAATGAATGGTAAGGAATGGATGGATGGAAAAATAGTAATACTACCTACCAACTTTGGAGGGAGGAACAGTGCTGACAAGGACCCTGTACTGTAGTCGCAGCGGTTAACAAGAGAATATAATTAGTACTCCGTACCTAGGAGTCGGTCATGGCCCATGACTATATTGCAATAGTCATAGCATCAATTTAACAGTCAACAATTCTGATTATTTATTTTCATTGTACAAGAACCAAAACCGAATACAATAAGAGTAACAATAAATGATGGGACCGGAACTATCACCCTCCTATTCTGATTCTTGAAGGTAGGGGCGAATTCGTAAATAAACATCGGGATAAGAATCGATTGCCAGATGTGTCTTGCCCGGAAGTCTAACGATTGCAGTTTAGGTGGTAAATACCATGAGGAGATGATGATTACTGATTCTTCGATTCTACTTGCTTTTACTGCAGACACAGTATTACTACGAGGTATTACTACTATGGGAATATTGGCAGAATTCTAAAATCTAAATTTGAAGATTATTGGAAATTTCCCAATAGCAAAATACGCTGCCCCCTTCCTTCAGTAGTATTGGGCCATTGGGTTAGTCCAACAAGTCCCATGCTGTGTGTAGGGCAGCTAAATCATTATCCCTACATCTTTTTTAGCGGTAAAAAAGATATACACCGTAACCTGAATAATAATACTTATGGAGTACAGATTATGCTGAAGAATGTATGCAACTTATGACTAGGCAGGTAACCCCTCTTTTCAAGTACAGCAACTTTGGCCAGTCGAATGGAGACTAAACTGTACCGTACGAACGAGGAGTACAAAATCTGACAGATTACCTAACAGGAGACTTGAAAAAGACACCCCCCCCAAAAAAAAGCAAAAAAATAAAAAGGCAAACGGGGTAAAAAGACGAAGCCACAATGGATACTACCGTGACCCGAAATTAAACGGTTTACGGAAGGAGAATACGAAGCAAATGTATGATTGCTTGGCATTGCGTGTCCGAATCCATCACTACTACCTAGGTACATGTCAAGTGGACACCACAACCACTTCCTGAAGGAATATCAAATGGTATCTTACGGAGTACGCCGTACTGGAAGGAAGAGGGACGGAACCAAGGAATTAAAATAAGAACTAAACAGTGGTAATCTATTATCCATGCTATTCCTGAAAAAGTGAAATGACAGCCACTGGGGCAAACTACTTTAGAGGGGAACAGAAAAAGGAAAAGCATGCGGGACCACAGGCAGGGCGTAATTGGCCAAGCATTAGACAGATGTGCACTACTGCGCGCAAAAAAGGGAAAGGAGGAGAGGGGGGAGAAGAAAAGAAATATTAAAAAGTCAAAAGAACACAGGAGTCCACCGCCGCCACGAGGTGCACTTCTGGGGAGGAGAATCAAGGCCGCCCGGCGGGCGAGCTTTCTGATCCGAACTCGAGCTTCCAGACCACGGTTACTCCCGACCGGAATAGAATTTGGCGGACGCGCGCCAAAACGACGCAATGTTCTTAAACCAAAAACTTCGACCGGAACATGGCCTGCTAGCAGGACCTTGTAAACTGCCCTCGGGGATCACGATTATACTTTGGTGGAAATGCCAGGTACCAAACTCCCAGTCGCTTAGTCCTCCACTCGGCCGGAAATATTCTCTCCTCCACCTCGATTGGACTGTCCTTGCTTGGAGAAAGGGATAACCGTTCGAGTCCCATGCAAAAGTGAGTTTATTGGGTTGAGTGGTTCGCAGAATACTACGGTTTAGGGAATTAATGATATTGTCAATGTCAGTATTGTTCATCCCTGTCTTCCCGCAGAGAGTTGTACACAGTAGGTAAGTCCTGATTGATACTGTGTACTGGCCTGGTCTATCTTGAGGGCAGCTGAGCTCCATCAGAGTCCCCAATCTCGGTCTATATGATGACTGCAGGGTGAATCGTTTATCAACCGGATTGACTTCACCAGGAAGGCAGGGAGGTGTCTTCTTCTCGAATAGTTGATGCCATCCTGGACATTCCGTATGCCGATCAGGGCCGGGGCACCCTGGCAATACACCGCAGTGAGAAGCAGGAGAATGGGAGAGTTATCTTCCGTCCATATGGCCGACCTCTTGGTTGTTTCCCATTTGCATGCTGCCCCACTCCATCTGGCTGCGAGTCGAACCGGGGACCGGGCAGAAAGGATCTCATTAATTGGAGCGAGCCTAGCCTAGAGGCTTAACTTAAACAGGGTAGCCCTGTCTGCCGACTGACATCGGCCGCAGTCTTCCCCACCTGCAAAGCTAATTTAGCAATTTAGCAGGCAACGCTAGCTCGGATCGATACCTACGGGCAAAAGGTTGTATCTGCTCTGTTGGAGATCGATGCCGAAAAGGAAAAGAAAAAGAGGAGAAAAGAAAAGAAAAGAAAAGAGAAAAAAAAATAAAAAATAAATAAAATGAAAGATCACAAGCAAGAAAGAACCGACCCAGTTCAAGAAGAAGCACCTTTGGAGCTTAGTGCCTTGGAGCAGCCGGGAAGTGGGGCCCAGAATGTGGATGAGGTGGGAGGCAGAGGTCGATCCGGTGGGTGCGGGCGAATAATGAGCAGGCACTGCGAAATGTCCCGTGGCCTGAAGATTTTCGGCACTCAACCATGGTGGTGAATGACGAGACCATATGTAATACATAAAAATAAATCCAGAGACACCAGAGACACGTTGTTGAAGGGGCTCAGGCATTTTCGAAGGGGTCTTCCGCCCCAAAGACGCGAGGGATGGACTACATTCCCCGTTAACTTTGGCCTATGCAGTACTCCGGACTGTACCTTTTCTCTCCTTCCTTCCAGTTCCTTCCAGATTACATCATGGCTCGAAGTGTCTGCATCATTGGCATCTGGCCGTACGGTTCTTGTCTGCCGGAGGTGGATGGGTTTACCATCTGGTTACGACACTCGAGCTTGCGCCCTTGTTCTAGACTGCGGTAACCGTCTTATACAGTATTAATGATAATGCCTCGTGTATTACTTACCAACCACGTACGCTAATGGTAATTACGTAGTGGCCAAATTTCGCCCCTTGACTCCGTACCTCCCTAGCCCTATCAATCCAGGAGAAGGCCTAAGCGACTTTTAACGTTCCTCATTATGATCCTGGATCGACAAAGCAGATAGCTGATTACTATGTCAGAAGAATATCGGCATCCGGACTCAGTCTCTTGTAAGGTAGGTACCACCTTACGGCATGTCGCGTGGGGGGGCAAGTGTCAGTAATCAATGATCAAGGCACAAAAGGTCCTCGGCCGGCAACGATCTCGATACAGGCTGCCTTCACGTGGCCGCACTGAGCGATCGTCCTCAGGGGTCCCACGGGCTGCGAACTGCCGTAAGCGGCGGTGTAATGGTATTGTACTCCGTCTGTACGAAGGTATCATTCTTGGGAAAGTTTATTATTCGGTTGCTCCTTGCGAGGTTTGGGGAGGACCACGTTGAGGCAGAATCATGACAATAATAATAATCAGAATTACGCTACTTTGGGTCGATGGAGGCGTCATGAGTATGACAGCTCCGTAGCCGAGCGATGCACTAGCGACCGGGGCACTTCTGCGAGGGATTGGTCTGGTGGAATTCAATATGCTATTATTGTTCAGCAATAATGTGTTTATTCTCCCTTTTTCAAATTTCTCTTATCGGCTCTCCTAACTTGGCCGGTAAGATTCCCAACGTGGAAAGTACCCTCAGGCATTCAGGAGGGGGTAACTTTACACAAAGTACGCCCGAGCAAGGAAAAAGGGCTTTGACTTCCAGCAAACACATGGCAACCACGGTGGATTGATCGCCCCTAAAAAGTCTGTTTGGCCTGGACATTGGACGCTTTGACTGGTCCAGCCACCCTGCGCCAAGCATCCGGAAACGGTGTGAAGTCAAAAAGTCAAATAATCCATAATCTCAATTTGATAGAATAATATCGAGAATCAAGATGTTAAAAGC